TTGGCTTGTTTGTTTGATGGTTTGTAGGGTCTCTCTCTCTCTCTGTACGTTTTGTTTTCTTTTGCTGTCGTTTTTTTTCTGCTCTCTCTCTCTCTCTATACGTTTTGTTTTCTTTTGCTGTGTTTTTTTTTCTGCTCTTCTCTCTCTCTCTCTCTCTCTCTCTCTCTCTCTCTCTCTCTCTCTCTCTCTCTCTCTCTCTCTCTCTCTCTCTCTCTCTCTCTCTCTCTCAGAAATATATCTATATGTGTGTGTTGGTGTATCTATATATCTATCTATATTTTACTTCTAGATTTTCCTTTCTAATCCCCATCTTAACCTCTTTGCCTCTTTACATAATCAAGTATTTTTCCTGATTTCTATGCAGCTTGGCATCTAACTACCTGTAATTTCCTTCTATGCAAACTTGTGTCTTTAATTATGGTTGAGATAAGCTGTGCTTATTATGGTATGTTGGTGTTTTTGGAATACCATGGTATTGTCGTTTATATTATATGACATTACTGTTTGTAAAAGTACCATGATAGATACATTGTATTAGCATAATTAGAGCGTTTTGATTGGTCCTATATCAAGAGTGCTTTAATCACAAGAGAAAATGCACATATTCGAATGATATATAAGGGCAAAGAGGTTTTATTTTATTTTTCTATTTTACTTCTTGATAAAAAAACGGTATGGCGAAAGATCGGATAGCCATATGCTATTCTGCAAGTGTGGCGTAATTTAGGATGGATATTTCAAAACAGTAAAGTAAAATACAATTTATAGAGTGAAATAAAATGGAGACTACTTCGCCTTCCTCTTTAATAACTTTGATATTTGTTTTATCAGCAAATTCAAGTATAATGATTATAATGACGATGGTGAAGATGATAATGACGGTGATAATCATGACGATAACGATGGTGATGAGAGTGATGGTTATAACGTTGGCGACGATGATTAATAAAAAGGGTCGGAGCGATAGTTGGAGCTGATCACATTAAGTGTATCGCTAATTATACATACAATTTTGCATGTAAATACGTACAAAATCAATATTGATCAAATTTATAGTTCTGCATTTTGCCATGGTTATAGTTTTTAATCCTTCTGTTAATGATTACAGTAATGCGTTATCATATTTTTGGAACATTATGGCACAGATCGAAGGCGTGTAATAGCTCTGTATATAAGTTGCTCTATGGAGGCTTGCTTGTGTTTCTCTTCGTTATCACAGTAAATCTCTATTGCTATTCTATTTTTGATTTTTTTTTTCTAAATCATCATCTGGCTACCGATTTTTAGGATCATTCTGCAAACATATTACGCAATGTAGGAAAACTCTCAACAAGCAATATCGCAGTACAACGCTGCAGCTGCCCGTCATGGAACGTTCCCAGGATATTTGGTCGTGGATTTTCTTTTCTGATATAAACTGTTTTGAAGCATTATGTGTGTGTGTGTGTATGTGTGTGAAACAGACAGAGAGAGAGAGCGAGAGCAAGAGCTTTCTCTCTCTCTCTCTCTTTCTCACTCTCCTCCCCCCCCCCCCCTCCCTCTCTCTCTCTCTCTCTCTTTCTCTTTTCTCTCTCTCTCTTCTCTTTTCTCTCTCTCTCTCTCTCTCTTCTCTCTCTCTCTCTCTCTCTCTCTCTCTCTCTCTCTCTCTCTCTCTCTCTCTCTCTCTCCCTCCTCCTCCCTCCCTCCTCCCTCCCTCCTCCCTCCCTCCCTCCCTCCCTCCCTCCCGCCCCACCTGTCATTTTCAGAAGGTCATGCTATCAAGGACAGGTGGCGGGAGACAGGGAAAGAAGGAGAATCAGGAGGACAAGAAAAGGTGGACAGCTGAAGAGAAACGTGACTTATCGTTATGCAAGATTTGCCTCTTTCTATATTGTCCATTTGGCATTGGTTTTGGCGGGTCGAGCGATGATAACGATAAGATAAAGGGAAAAGAAAATATTGACAAAAATGTTAGAAGTCAGTCACGTGGCTGCGCGCGCCGTGTGAGTACGTGTGTACGTGTGTTTGTGTCTGTGTTTTCCCTCGAGCCACATATAAAATGCCGGTGACAAAGCCCCATTTTCTTTAACACAATTCCCAGCCATATTACATCTGTCTAGCTAAACTTTACAGCCCTTGGGCCTTTAGAAAGAGAAATTACGACGGCACTGTACTTACGCGATGTGCAGCGGGAAAGTGGAAGGGGCATTTCTGTGACGAAGTGCACAGTACAACGGAGTGCTTATATCATACATATATCCTTATACGGAGTAAGAGCATCGTTGCCATACAATTACACGAAGCGGAAGTGTGGAAGCTGAGCGTGGATGGCGGAAGCAGAAGGCATACATTAGGAGCGAGTGGGAAGCATTGCTCGTTGCACTTCCGTAATGATACCCGAGCTGCTGCGTACCCGAGCGTGTCCGCCTCGCTACAAACACTCTTGCGAGACATTAGGAGTAGACTTGGGGTTTCCGAAACGCGCAGTTCGAGGAAGAAATTATAAAAGAGGAAAGGAAGGAAGAAAAAATGGGAATAAAAGAGGGAATTAGCTGCGATACAAATTATCGAATGTAAACGGTCCGAGGGAGGATGACTAGCAATTGGGACGCCCGCTAGACAAGACTTACGAGGTACTTCGACAACGGTATTAGAGCCGAGGGAAGGAAAGCGCTGGTATCATGAAGCGAAATTGAAGGTAAAGGGTCTGGAAAGATAAATTGAATGGATGGATGGATTTAAAAGCCACAGTGCCGCTCAATAACACGACAGTTCATAACACATGGTTCTTGATTGCATGGAAGTCAGTTTATGGCGTCATGGATGTCTTCTTTTTTTCTTTATTTGGAGGATTTAAGTGTATGTGTGCGCGTGTGGGTGTGAGTGTGTGTTTACGTTTATGTAAACTCTGCTTCTGATTTTTATTCATTTATT